GCAGCAGCAGGCGGGGAACCTTGGCTTCCTCCATCACTGGAGCAAGCAAGCCTCCTGTTCGCTTCAGCTGCCTGGCTGCCGGCCGCCATCTTGGTTGGCAGTTAATTTGCATATCCTGCTGATTAGCCAATGGGAAGCGTGTCGGAGGTACGATTAATTACCATGTTTGTATATTATTAGATAGGATATATGTGTGTGTGTGTGTATTTGCTTTCAGGAAGGGAGTGGGGGAGAGAGGTAGAAACATCAATGATGAGAGAGAATTATTGACCGGCTGCCTCCTGCATGCCCCCAACTTGGAATTTGAGCTGCAACCCGGGCATGTGCCCTGCCCAGGAATCAAACTGTAACCTCCTGGTTCAATGTTTGATACTCAACCACTGAGCCCCACCAACTGGGCCTCACAGCCTTTTTTATTTCCTTGTGCCTCCTCTCCCACTGCATTTTTGAGGCAAATTCTAGTTATTATATCATTTTAGCTAAATATTTCAGTACTTCCACTGAAAGGTAAGAGCTGTTTTCTTAAAATTAATCACAATATCACAATCACCTCTAAGTTATTTCACACTCTTTTGCAGTTGATTATATAAATCAGGGTCTAAATAAGGTCCATCTACACATTACATTCAGTTGATCTTTAAAATATTTTAACCTAATAGGTTCCTCTTATTTATTGTTTTTGTTCTTGAAATGTATTTGATGAAGAAATCCTGTCATTTTTCTTGTGGAGTTGTCCATGCAGTTTTGCTGAATGCATCCCACTGGTGTCATTTAAGATGTTTATCTGCCTCCCCACCCCTTGTTTCCTGTCAACTGAACGTTAGATTTAGAGATTCAAATTTTTTAGGTTTATTTTTGTTGCAAGAATATTTTATAGAGTTACTTTCCAACAGCACATAGTGTCTAGTTGTGTTTTTCTTTGTGATTTTAGTGGCCACTTATAATTTGCACCAGCCTTATTTAGTCAGGAGTTTTCTATTCTAATTTCATAATTTCTTCTTAATTTCATTATTTATTAGCTGTGGTACTTCTATGGAGAAGTTTCTCTTTATCAATTACTTAGTTACTCAGAGGTACACATTATACCTGAGGGAAAATAGGTTAAATGAGTGGTTCTTTCCCTTTATTTGCAACTCTTGGAGGGCCCTTAATATCTCCAAAGATGGCCAATTATATCTTTTTTAACTTTTTAACAGTATCATTATGAACACACAAATTTTAACATATTTGATAATTTTTAAATCCATTACAGGTATTTTTATTGATCAGATTGTCCCTTTGTTGGCCAGTGAGGGTACCTTTAGGATGGTTCTTGGGTTCTTTAGACATGAACATCTTTGATGGACATTTTGATGACAAGATGTCCAGGTTCATTTTGTGCATTTTCAGTGGTTGGTCTGGAAACAGCTCTTTCTTCAGCAAGTCCTGGTTCCTTTTAGTGGGAATTTGTATTTAGGAATTACAGTCGGAATACCACAGGTTAAGTTGTTGCTTACAGGCTTTTTCAGTGGACAGAGCTAGGAAAGATGTTTTTAAGAGAAAATACTTCATGAGTTTCATACTGATTTTTCCAATTCAAATTTAGGAATATACTAGTGAATTTCTATTGGACTTTATTTTCACATTTGTATTTCATGCTGAAACCCTTGGTGCCTAATAATATTTATTCTTAGGATAGATTCCTCTAGGGCAGCGGTTCTCAACCTGTAGGTCGCGACCCCTTTGGCGGTCGAACGACCCTTTCACAGGAGTCGCCTAAGACCATCCTGCATATCAGATATTTACATTACGATTCATAACAAACTAGTGGACTTTATTTTCACATTTGTATTTCATGCTGAAACCCTTGGTGCCTAATAATATTTATTCTTAGGATAGATTCCTCTAGGGCAGCGGTTCTCAACCTGTAGGTCGCGACCCCTTTGGCGGTCGAACGACCCTTTCACAGGAGTCGCCTAAGACCATCCTGCATATCAGATATTTACATTACGATTCATAACAGTAGCAACATTACAGTTATGAAGTAGCAATGAAAATAATTTTATGGTTGGGTCACACATAAGGAACTGTACTTAAAGGGCCAGAAGGTTGAGAACCACTGCTCTAGGGATTATGCTGAAAATGTGTTTTAAGTCATTTGGAATAATTCTTTTTGCATGATTACACCACTGACTCAATACATATTTAGGTTTGTTTCATTTTTGCTTTTAAATTTTAGGGATTAAAAAGTTTTTAGATTTTGTTGTTGTTGTTATGGAAAGCACATAGTGCCAAATCTACAGAACAAAGCAGAATAAAAAAAGTCTAGCTTTGATCCTTGTTCCCTCCACTCTGTTCCTCTCCCTTGCCCCCCATTCCATTTAAACATATAAGCAAGTATGTATGCATGCATGTGCACTTACATGTACTGACTGCCTGCCAACCCAATTTTAGATGAACGCTAGTAAATTATACATAATTTTCTCTGCTGGCCTTTTACTCTTTCCATTATTTCCTGGAGGTCATTTAATACAAGTATACAGAGATATCTTTTATGCTTTTTTTTGCAGCTCTATCATATTTTATTGTGTGAATGTGCTGTAGTTTATTCATCCACTCCCATATTAATAGACATTTGGATTGTGGTTAGAGTCTTGCTCTTATAAATGGTGCTATAGTGAATACCTGGTACGAATATAATTTTATTTTTTTTATTTTTGCTACCCTACAGGGGAATTTTAGTTTTAGGTAGAATAACTTGACTTCAGGAAGGATTCAGATGCAAGGTAACTGCTACTAATGGATTGTTCTGGTAGTAGTGGGCAATTTGGAAGGCCAATCTTTTGACTGAAGATATGAGTTTTTCTTTGAGTATGGGTCCATTGATTAGAATCATTGTTCTTGTATACACTATGTCCATATAGTAACTTATGTATTTTGTAGTTTTGGTTTCTTTAAAGTAGCTTGAGACTTTAACAACTTCAAAGCAATCTGAGTACAGAATTTCCTAGTCTTTTGTAGTCTTATAACCAGTTTTTCAAAAAACTTTAAAAAAAGTAATATGCCTCTATGAATAATTTCCAAAATATTCAACTTAGTTTTTATAGAAATAATAACTTCTTTTTTTTAAGAGGATAGTAAATCGTTTATTGATTACACACGATAATGGATGATACACAAGCTTCATATCCATCTATAATTTTATCTGGTACCATAATTCAATTTAGATATATTGCATAGGATGTGCCAACAATCATTAATAACCAAATAAACTCCATGACACTGCTTGGGTGACCCTTTTAATGGTGATCTCCAGGTCACAACACAGTAACTGTCAATTCAACTACACCAAAATTTCTGAAGACAATGGCTTCTGTGCCCAAGCAGTTTGTAAATAAATTTCAAATGGAACCTGGCATCACCCTGAAGGAATTCTAGCTTCACACTGTTGGGGTAATTTACCAAGATGGCTTCAGAGCAAACTAACTTTACACAGCACATTTAAAAAAGACACATTTATTCAGCGTCATGATCAGACTATTACATTTAGCAATCAACAGCATGGGTGCAAAAAAAAAAAAAATCTACATTAAAACCCTTGGTTGGAATGCTTTACACTTTCCACAGAACAGAAACTAAAATAACCTGTTATACAATTAGTCACAAATACAGTCCTCGAGTTTTTTT